TATATACATATACATATACATATACATATACACAGTATATATATTTATATACTTTCTAACTCTGTTCTTATCGATAAACCTTAAAGGAATTGTTTTATTAAACTGTTTGTGTTGAACTGGACCCGATCAGAACCAACAGCCCACTGAACAGAAGATTGTTGTTGTTGATTTGTTTGTCTGCAGTATCGATCAGCTGATCCGATCGCTGCAGAAACAGAACCGTCTGATCGAAGGAGGCGGCGCCGCTGAGGGGAGCGCTGTGATGTCATCAACCCGACATCCTCATCGAACTGAAGATTAAAAACCTGCAGTCATGTGACCTTTGACTCCGCCCCCTGCAGGCTGCTTTCTTCTGAACCCGGATCAATACGGACTCATCATCATCGTCGTCTTCATCATGTTCCCATCGATCCAGAACCTTTAAGCTGATCAACCAATCAAAGCTCGTTACCGATTATTGATCCGGTTCTTAGATCCGGTCGGGTTCTTTACTCTGGTTTAGTGAAAATCTTTAACTTTCATTCATTTTTTAATCTTTCAAAGTTATAAAAACTCCATTAATGAAACATGTTAATTCAGCCGTGTTGGGTCAGAACCTGACCTGGTGGTACTGACCTGGGTTCTGCTGCAGCACGGTGTCGGTCAGGTCCGGCAGGTGGACCAGCAGCAGCAGCAGCGACCCGAGTCCCAGCAGCAGGAGGAACCAGAGCGAGCAGAGCAGCTTCATCCTCCTGCAGACGCTCACAGAGTTCTGGAGCCTAAGGTCCATCGGGCCGGTTCCGGATCAGCCAGGAGCTCAGAACCTGAGGACAGGAGGGGTCACATCAGTTCAACACAGACCCATCAGAACCAGAGGGAACTAAGCTCTAAGACAGAACCTCTACTCTTCCTATTAGTTGACTTGATGTACGGCAGAACATTGTACTATATAATCACAGTACAATTTATTTAAATGCTTTTATTTTGAAGCGATAAATTCAGTTTAAATGTGTTTTTCTATGTGAATAAATCAGCTCTTGAATCCTGGCTGCTGGGAACCCGAGCCTGAGGTCAGACCTGGTTCTGCCAGGAGCTCCATCAGCTGGACCCAGGCCCGGAGAGGAGATATTTATAGACCCGAGTGGTTCTGTTCTGTTCTGAGAGCGGTTCTGATCCCACAGGAAGAGTGGAGGAGCTGTGACACCAACGCTTCATCGTTTAACAAGCTGTCGGATCAGAACAGAACCATCAGAACCAGAACCATCAGAACCATCAGAAACAGATCAGAACCATCAGAACCAGATCAGAACCATCAGAACCAGAACCATCAGAACCATCAGAAACAGATCAGAACCATCAGAACCAGATCAGAACCATCAGAACCAGATCAGAACCAGATCAGAACCATCAGAACCAGAACCATCAGAACCAGAACCATCAGAAACATCAGAACCAGAACTATCAGAACCAGAACAGAACCATCAGAACCAGAACCATCAGAACCAGAACAGAACCATCAGAACCAGATCAGAACCATCAGAACCAGAACAGAACCATCAGAACCAGATCAGAACCATCAGAACCAGATCAGAACCATCAGAACCAGAACAGACCCAGTTCAGACCCAGATCAGAACCAGAACTTTGATCTGGATGTTCTGGTGTTTTATAAACAAGGAAACATCCTGTAGAACAGACTTTTATTTTGGTAACAGCTTTGTTCAGAACCTCCAAAAGTTCTGAGGTGTTTGGACCAGGAAGCCCGGATCAGGTTCAGCTTCCTGCTGGAACCAGAGAACCGGACCTCCTGCAGCTCAGGGACGAGGACCTGAAGAGTCCTCCGGACAGGAAGTGCTCCCCTGCAGACAGGAAGTTGAGGCGTGTTCTTCTTCATGGATTATTGATGCTGCGGCCCGGCAGCAGCAGGACCCGGGTCGGGTTTCCTCTCTGATCGGATCAGAAACTGGATCCTCTCCGGCTGAAACCATCAGACTCAGCAGCTGCAGACGCCCAGCAGGTTCTGGTTCTGGTTCACCTGCAGAGGTTGGAGCTTTGTGGACAAACTGGATCAAGGTTCTGATCACCTGAAGAAGGTGAGGTCCAATCTGATGGTGCCGTCACCATGGCAACCAGGACCGAAACCCCCAATCTGATGGTTCTGGTACCGGTCCAGAATGAGAACTTGTCAGACCCAGAACCGTTGCAGGAGGTCCAGAACCTTTACAGGAGGTCCAGAACCGTTGCAGGAGGTCCAGAACCTTTACAGGAGGTCCAAACGACCATCAGTCAAACAGAACCAGACACGACATCATCGAACCCAGAAGGTTCTGGTTCGGACTGAAGATGATTTCAGTTTGAGTTTTAAATTTGTTCTTTTTAGGAGAAATGATGACGTCACAGCAGCTGGACTGGTATCAGAACCACCCCGAACCCGTCAGACACACACAGGTGTTACCTGTCCAGGTGAACCTTTCCACTGGAAAAAAAAACATCAAAGGTCGTCTAAACAAAACCAGAACCAGAACCAGAACCACCGGACCGGTAACTCACCACAGTCCGGTTCGGCATGGATGGATGCTGCTGCCCGGGTTCCACTGAAAGTCCGTTCTCCAGGAAAATAAACCTCACTTTACCGAACCAGAACCGAACCGGCAGCGGGAAGGTTCCGGTCCAGTGCAGGTCCCGTAGAACAGCAGGCTGTTATGATGGAGGCAACGAGCGGCGGGAAAACGCCCCAAAGTTACGGCTCGAGACCGAACTGAGTTCAGAGGAGAGTCAAGTTCCGGAAGAGAAGCAGAGACAGACCGGATATTTACAAATCAGACTTTCATAATAAAAGTCTCACGTCAGCAATGGCAGCCGAAAGCATTGTGTGTGTGTGTGTGTGTGTGTGTGTGTGTGTGTGTGTGTGTGTGTGTGTGTGTGTGTGTGTGTGTGT